AATATTTCGAAATATTTTATTAATCTTGGCAGAGCTGAAGAAACAAAGCTGTCGTAGTATTAGAGAGGCCTACATTTGGCAGCACACATGCGGTCGGAAACGAACTGAGGTTGTGATTGGTAATTAATAATCTTCTTTTTTACGTGAAAATTCTGAGTTACTTTTATATATCAATATTTTTTCTCTGACTCCGTTAATATAGTAAGAAAGTACATAAAACATTACTACACTATCAACTTTTTCTACTTTAGAATATGAAGATGAGTCAAGCACAGTAAGTTTAGTGTCATTTGGTGTATGTACAGAACCACGCTTACTTTTTTGTCGTCGGGTATAAGATCAGTCTCCTTTTGTTACTGATAAAAATATACAACGAATGTACATGTCCAAATTTGAAACAAGGTTTAGCTTCACCTTATTTATTTGTTGCATTTACTGGTGTACATAGTGTACGTACAATACAGGAAGCTTAAGTTTTTATTAAGAATATATTTCGGCGTTGAAAAATGGCATACATTATTTTTGTGCAGTACGTGTACCTAGGTGCTTGACGTAATTAATCGTTACGACAAATGTCACTCATTTCGAGATAGTTCACATTTACTTTGTTCGTATGGATTATTTCCTCGGAGAAAAGTAGTCTTTTCATGGTCAACGATGCATTCCACCGACGCCTATCAAGTAATCTTATCACACTAGTATATAAAGCGTCTGTCACGCCACAAGTGCATCAGTGCATCTGAGCTCAGATACAACACAGACCTCTCCACATACAACATGCTGAAGCTGGTGGTGTTGTCCTGCTTGGTGGCGGCCGCGGCAGCCGGCGCGCTCTTACCGTACGCACCCCTCGCCTACTCGGCGCCCCTCGCCTACTCGGCACCCTTCGCCTACGGGGCGCCATTGCTGGCCCCCTACGCCCCTAACTACCGCGGCCCTCTGTCTCTGGCGCCTGGCCAGCCCGCCAACATCCTCGCGGCTGACGGCAGGCCGCTCGACACCCTGGACGTGAACCTGGATCGCTCCGCACACTACACCGCCAAGGCCCTGGACAACGCTGGCTTCCACATCTTGAAGAAACGCTCCGCTCCCCTGATTGCGCCCATCAGCCGCGTGGCGGTCGCTGCTCCCTTGGTTCACAGTTACGCCGCTCCCTTCGCTTACTCTGCACCCGTCATCAGCTCCCGCCTGGCCGTGGCTCCCATCAGCTACGCTGCCGCACCCCTCGCCCATTACTGGAAATGAAGAACTTAGGCCACTGATCAATATCAATATAAATAAACCGACTAACGATTAAGTTGTTTATTTATTTTTATTGAACTCCTAAATATACTGGTAACATTTTATTATTACTGGCTTACAATGCGCAGTCTGCGCCTACGCCATCGGATCGCACTTGGCTTTCGCCGTCGTCTATATTGCTCAATACTGGTAATCTCTGTTCACTCGTATATTAATATACGATTCAACATACATACTAATTATTTTGTAAATACTGATCATGGAAAATAATAGAAAATTATATATCTATATATTTTAATTTGTTTAAGTTTTATACAATTGCTTAAGGAGGACTTAATGCGAACAACATTCTCTGTCAGTCTTCCTTTGGGTAGTGCAGAAATGTACGTGTAGGTGGTAAGCTGCAAAAAGGTTATGAGCGGTAGTGGTATAACTATCATAATCTTATACTATTATATAAAGCGGAAGAGTTTGTTTTTTGTTTGTTTGTTTGAACGCGTTAATCTCCGTAACTACAAGTCTGATTGGAATAATTATTTTGTGTTGGATAGCGCATTTATTGAGGATGGCTATAGGCTATAAAACATCACGCTATGACCAATCGGAGCTGAGCAGAGCGTGTGAAACCGCGCGGAAGTAGTTAGTTATTACATAAGCATTGACAAAATACGTACGTACGTACGTAGTCTGAGATACAGTACTACAAGTATGTGCCTGACCCAGTTCTGGAAAATGACTATATCACATTGTACTGGGACCGGTCTATCGTTACTGACAGGACTATTGCAGCCAATAAACCTGACATAGTGGTGATAGATGACAAGTGTGCCGCACGATGATAATCGATGTCACCATTCCCCATGACGAGAACCTCGTGAAAGCTGAGAAAGATAAACAAATAAAATATCTAGACTTAACTCATGAAGTTGTCGACATGTGGAGTGTGGATTCGGCTATCATTAAGCCGATAGTCGTGTTGGCCAATGGCCAACATCCGTAAAATCCTTAGGAGGCTGGCGTTAGGTGGCTAAATCAAGGGCCTGATACAGAAGTGCAGTACATATTACTGCACTCAGTGGTTTCTAAATAATCTTAGAAAGTACATATAACTCGAAAAATGGTACGTTGGTATTTTGTCGTTGGTAGGTTTTGAACCCTCGTCTTGAACCTCACCTCGATGACAAGATAGAAAATAACAATCAATGAATCATAAAACAAGATTAAGGAATTAACCATAAAGCTTTAAAGTATGTGATAATGTATGTAAGTTCATAATGGGCAAAAATTATAAGACTTTTACAATATTCATTAAAATCATTTAATTTGATGACGATTCAGTTTTTCAACACTGCCTCGTTAGCCGAGTTGTCGCAGACACGGCTGCCGAGCTAGTCCAATGGTACTTTGTCCTACTTTGCATTATTCTATAAGAATGATGCCAAATAGTGCGGAATGAAAATATAATTATGAAAAAAAGTACTTAAAACGTTATTTACATAAAAGTTTGTTTCAATTTGATATTTGATTCTAAGGCTGAATGTTGAACAGTTTACTGAATTTCATTGTATTTCTATAATAGCTTAAACAAAAAGTTCATACAATTACATATGGAAAATTTTCTTAAATCTGGTTCCCTTCGAGGTCTCTTGTGATGTAAATGACAGTGTCTGGACAGTATTACGTGTCGCGTGTCTGTGTCGTTAGGTGCGAACAAACAATATTTATTTCAATACGCAACATGTCTCTCGATTACGTGTAGCTGACATCCGATAGCTGAAGGTCTGCCGGTAGCCTGTCAATTGAACAGCTGAAGTAATTTATATTTACTTCTTATGACAACATTCGTCTGTATTTTTAATACAGTAAAGGATTTAGAATGAAATATATATTGAAAGCTCAGTTTGATTAAGGTGAGAACCTAGTCACAGGTTGACAAAACTATGTTTCTACAATCACCAATTCAATTCAACATAATATTTAAGTAAGTATTTTGTCTCAAATCCAAAAGCTCGACAAAAGCCCTGGACCAGACGGCATTACAAATGAAGCCATAAAGGTTGCCTGGCCGCTACTGACTCCCCCACTAACATATTTATTTAACCTTGTATTAAAAACTGCCGAAATACCGTCGCAGTGGACGGAGTCGGAAATTATCTTAATTTACAAAAAAGGGGACTCAAAAGATATCACAAACTACAGGCCTATTAGCTTAGTCTCATGTATTTATAAACTGTTTTCCTGTATAATTAACAAAAGAATAAGTGTCACAATAGAAGCACAGCAACCAGTCGAACAAGCAGGCTTCCGCAAGCGCTTTTCAACAATAGATCATATACATACTCTCGAACAAATAATAGAAAAATATCAAGAGAAGCAAAGAACACTCTACATCGCATATGTCGATTATAAAAAAGCTTTCGATACTGTGTCACATCCAAGTATCTGGACCGCTCTGCAAGCTCAAAAAGTTGAACAAGAATATATAGATATAATCAGAAACATTTACAAAGGTAGTACAGCAAAAATAAAGCTGGAATCCACTGGCCCTACGTTTTCCATCGAAAGAGGCGTAAAGCAAGGCGACCCCCTGTCTCCAAAACTATTTATATCTATCTTAGAGTCAATAATAAGAAGATTCAACTGGGAAAAGACAGGACTAAACATCAATGGCAAGTATTTATCCCACCTACGCTTCGCAGATGACTTGGTTCTGATGTCAGAATCTAGCACACAATTACAAAGCATGATTGACTCACTGAACACAGCCAGTAAACAAGTAGGACTAGAAATGAATCTCTCGAAAACCATGGTCATGACAAATAGTATACAGAAAAGAATATCAGTGGAAAACGAAACTCTGAATTATACAGAAAATTACATCTACCTCGGAAAACAAATGGGCTTCAGCAGAAAACAAAACGAACTAGAAGCAGAAAGAAGAGTGCAAAACACTTGGAACAAGTACTGGTCCTTAAAAGAGATATTCAAAAGCAACATGCCAATAAATGTTAAAACAAAAGTCATGACGTCATGCCTCCTACCTTGTCTAACATACGCTTGTCAAACTTGGAAATATACATCTAAATTAAAAAGCAAAATCACTACCTGCCAACGAGGAATAGAGCGAAGTATGCTGAATATTAAAAAGATGCAAAAAATACGTCACACAAAAATTAGAGAAACCACAAAAGCGACTGATGCTCTAACCTACGCTAAGAAATTGAAATGGAAGTGGGCTGGGCACGTAGCGAGGTTAAAGGACGAGAGATGGACTAGCAGGGTAACAACGTGGAAAGGTCCAATCGGCAAACGTCCCAAAGGCAGACCGCTCACGAGATGGGCAGACGAGCTAATAAAAATAGCTGGTACCTGCTGGCCGCAAATAGCTCAAGATAGAGACGCATGGAGTTCTTTAGAGGAGGCCTTCACCTTCACTTGAAGAGGGGTTCATGCAAAACAAACCTAGTTATACATTTAAACTATTTCTAAATTAATTGGAAACAAGTGTAATTAATGTCTTTACTATTATTTCTTTCTTTCTTAAAACTACACATGTAACCTGAAAAAAATTGCATGAAATAAAAGGTTTTTTATTTTATTTATTATTATTTTATTTTTGTCTCAAATCCTAAGGATCCAAATAAGTTATCTACATAAGTAATACTAAAACCATTACCAGTTTTTGGAGTTCAATAAAAACTACTGAAATAATTAATCTGTAGTCAGTTTATTTACAATTGATCAGTGGACTAAGTTCTTCATTTCCAGTAATGGGCGAGGGGTGCGGCAGCGTAGCTGATGGGAGCCACGGCCAGGCGGGAGCTGATGACGGGTGCAGAGTAAGCGAAGGGAGCGGCGTAACTGTGAACCAAGGGAGCAGCGACCGCCACGCGGCTGATGGGCGCGATCAGGGGAGCGGAGCGTTTCTTCAAGATGTGGAAGCCAGCGTTGTCCAGGGCCTTGGCAGTGTAGTGTGCGGAGCGATCCAGGTTCACGTCCAGGGTGTCGAGCGGCCTGCCGTCAGCCGCGAGGATGTTGGCGGGCTGGCCAGGCGCCAGAGACAGAGGGCCACGGTAGTTAGGGGCGTAGGGGGCCAGCAATGGCGCCCCGTAGGCGAAGGGTGCCGAGTAGGCGAGGGGCGCCGAGTAGGCGAGGTGTGCGTACGGTAAGAGCGCGCCGGCTGCCGCGGCCGCCACCAAGCAGGACAACACCACCAGCTTCAGCATGTTGTATGTGGAGAGGTCTGTGTTGTATCTGAGCTCAGATGCACTGATGCACTTGTGGCGTGACAGACGCTTTATATACTAGTGTGATAAGATTACTTGATGGGCGATACCGAAGTGACCATGAAAAGACTACTTTCCTTCAAGAAAACAAAGTTCACACGAACAAAGCATTTGATAAATTAAAAGTGTATCATTTCCTGTCGTGTTTGTGGAGCATTGGTACATATTAACAAAATATAAGAAAAACGATATATCGATAATAATTTGCTGAATCTCTGTGCGTAATTTAATATAGATATCACATAATTATTTATATTCCAGATTTATTGGTTTTCTAGTTTGAAGTGGACGGTACCAATTGTTTTTTTCAGAATAGGTAAATAATGTACCGATTAGGTATTATTATTGTATATGTTCCTTTGCGCGCCTATAATTTGTATTTCTTATCATATTATGACTTAGCACAAGTTATGAGTTTGTAGTATTTTTCAGCTTCAACTAAATGAATGCAAAAAGTGGACTATCCATAAATACATATAACTTCATGGTCTTTTTCAGATACCGGGTATATGAATTATATGCGTTATTATTATGTCAAAATTAAGTGCTTTGGTAATATGAAGCTACTCCTTCGCGGTTCCAAATCTGCTCGGCACCTATTTGATATACCTAACTAGCGTAATATTTCTCGATATATGAACTATCTCATTGGAAGTGGTCTCATTTCTCTGTAATATCACGGAGTCTGGGATTGGTTAGTATTCTCGGTCAAAAATAAATTCTTCCGACTATTCAGTACAATAAAATATTCACATAGAATGACCTTAATTGATAGGTGTGGTATATTTATTGCTTAGTTTCTAGCAATTTTTTGAAATAATAGTACTCTTTGATGCAAAAATATTATGGCATCGCGTCGTCATAGCTCGTGATATAAAATTCATCTATATAAATAAAAATGAATTTTTGTTCGTTAGTGTCGCTAAAATTCGAGAACGGCTGAACCGATTTGGCTAATTTTGGTCTTAAAATGTTCATGGAAGTCCACCGAAGGCTTAAAAGGTGAGAAAAAAAGAAGTTTTAGGCGGTTCGAAGTTTGCCGGAGCAGCTAGTATAAATTATAATTTTTCACATTTCGGTAAAAATATTTTTGATTAGTTGGAAACTATTGCATCTAGTAACAATAGTCTGGATCACCACCACAAATATGAGACTCATAGCATTAATGGAGAAAACAGGGAATGTACAGAACCCTTTGCTCGGCAGTCACACTTGCAACCACGGGGCAGTCTGTTTTTGTGTTTATAGGAAAGTTAAATACAAACTTAATAAAAATCAATGCTTTACTTGTTCACTAGGGAAGTGTATCCACAAGATAAGGTGGAGGCTTTTAATATTAATTTGCCGCGAATGATAGACTGCCGTATAATTTGCAATGTCGACAAGTATGTTAATACCATACAATCATTATTGAGTCATGTACCTTACTACTTAATGTTTTAATAAATTGATTTGTTTAAATCGAATATAAGAAGCCATTTTTATATCAATAACACTTTATTATCGCCTTATTATCACCATAGATCATTTTAAGGTGCGTTTTCATGGAAAGCATTTACCGAAACCTATAGACGTCTACAGACTGCAGTATTACTAAATAAAGTAATTTTATTTATTTATATAATATAGTTCATTTTTATTTATATACCTCTATAGTAAAATTCATTACTAAATAAAGGTACACATGTTTATATTATAACTTTCGTAAGACATACTAAGATATTAAAAAAAGCCGAAAACATAATAATTAACACATTAACACATGCTCTAAATAGCGTTCTATTAAGCATGTTAAAATATTTTCAAAAATAGAACGCCTGTCTATTCGCAAGCATGTCATAGACCGCCTATCAATTCGCAGTTTTGAGCAACATTCCGACACACACGCTACTAAGCGACAAGTGCTCACTTGATTCATCCTTTTGTGCCTTGTACCTTAAAGCTTTTACGTATTTCCACTCACTAAACCGTTTCAGTCGTCTTTTAAAGAACTCCTGTATTTATATCAGTGTAAAGTTACAGTTAGGCACTGTCTTCATCCGAATTCTTCGATTATGAGTTTCAAGTAGATTAAGTACCTCGTTTTAAGTTACTAACATATCAAACTTGCGTCAATGATAGACTGCCGTACCAAATTCATCCTCAGAAATAACATCACAATAGTTATGGTAAATTTATTTTTATGTTAATAGATCGCTTTTGTTTACTGTGTTATAATCTGTATTGAAAAGTGTCCTGTACTTTTGGTAATTATTTGAAAAAAATAATTAAAAACTATTTAAAAAACGAAATGAGACAGTAAAACAAAATATTAAATTCGATAGTCGGTTTATTTATAATCTGTCAGTGCTAAGTTCTTCATTTCCAGTATTGAGCGATAGGGGCGGCGTAGCTGATGGGAGCCACGGCCAGCCGCGAACTGTAAACGGGCGCGGAGTAAGCCAAGGGAGCAGTGTAACTGTGGACCAAGGGAGCAGCGACCGCCACGCGGCTGATGGGCGCGATTAGGGGAGCGGAGCGCTTCTTCAAGATGTGGAAGCCAGCGTTGTCCAGGGCCTTGGCAGTGTAGTGTGCGGAGCGGTCCAGGTTCACGTCCAGGGTGTCGAGCGGCCTGCCGTCAGCCGCGAGGATGTTGGCGGGCTGACCAGGCGCCAAAGATAGAGGTCCGCGGTAGTTAGGAGCGTAGGGGGCCAGCAATGGCGCCCCGTAGGCGAAGGGTGCCGAGTAGGCGAGGGGCGCCGAGTAGGCGAGGGGTGCGTACGGTAAGAGCGCGCCGGCTGCTGCGGCCGCCACCAAGCAGGACAACACCACCAGCTTCAGCATGTTGTATGTGGAGAGGTCTGTGTTGTATCTGAGCTCAGATGCACTGATGCACTTGCACGGTAGTGATCTCTTTATATATTAGTGTAATGAGACTATTGACATTACAGGCGTTGCCGGAACACATCGTCGGCCCTGAGCGAACCACTTTTATAAAGTTCAGTCGATCGTTCTTTGTATGTTTGTAAACAATGATTTAATTAAGTGGTCATGTGTGGATTTATTGTTATTGTAGGCATGGTTGGAGTGGACGTCAGCGCCAGATATTGTAAACTTCATAATTATGCATATTGCAATTGCCTACATGGCTGAACACAGCCGCGGTATGACATCTCATTGTCATGCGTCTATTATTAAAGCACTCACATTTTTGTTAAACTGTTTTGGCTGTGAATAACACGTGAAATTATTATTGGCTTTTTAACGCACTTTTGTAGAGGTATATTAAGGTAATACTAATAATTCTTAATAGAAGTACTCTTTAGAATACATCATCACTACATAGTATGAAACAAAGTCGCTATCCGTCGTCTGTCTGTCCCTATGTCTTAGATCTTTAAAACTACGCAACGTATTTTAATGCGTTTTTTTAATAGATATAGTGATTCTCAAAGAAGGTGCAAATTGCACCCGTGCGAAGCAGGGGCGGGTCGCTAGTAATAACTTATTATAATTTAAATAGCAAAAGTCCGAACGGTGAAAAAGTATGCACATACAACAATCAAGTATTTATTACCTATAATTTACATCAACACATGGCATGACTTATGCTAGCATTTATACTAGGTATATCAGTGAAGTCTGTATTCAATGTCAATCTAATTCTCTGTTTTGGATCTATCCTGCAATATTAAAATATAGGACGGTAATACAGTGACGACATATAAACAACGAATGTCGTGTGCTTAGCGACTAAATATCGGCTTGTACAAGGACTTACCTACTATTGATTTTAGAATCAGTTGACTGCTATGAAATTCTCAGTATGGCTGTAATTTGATGACTTTACTAGTAACATGAATAGGTAAACATAACAATAGATCTAGTTGCTCTAATATTGTGAATGGGAGCATTTTCTAGTCGTACTTTGTTAAATGCTGTGGCTGTGAAAATTACCTTAAGTCTATTTCAGCATCTAGAAATGTATTTTTACAAAACATAACATCACGCCTTTTATCCTGGAAGATATAGGCAGAGGTGCACGTTACGTCCCTTAATGCCACTGTACAATGTAACTCCCACATTTCACTACTTGTGTTATAAGTCCCATGTAATAGGGGTGAGCCTATTGTCATATACCGAGCATAATTCCAGACTCCGTGCTAATACTACTATTTTTTTTTGAAAACCCTGTAATACTTTGCCCGACCCGGGAATCGAACCCGAGACCCCTGGCCCGGCAGTCGCACTTGCGACCACTCAGTCAACGAGGCAGAGAATAGTATTTTTATGTATTTATTTACTTTTTATTTTTAACACTTGTACGTACAATAATACAAAGGCGGGTTTAATGCCGGATTGCATTCTCTACCAGCCGCACCGCAAAGCATACGAAACCGCAGGGTGATGTAGAGAAGTGTTACAATAGGTTTTAAATAAGCTTGTATCTATTGAAACACGAAAGTGCTAAATAAATGAACAGCTGTATATAAATATTTTTTCCCGTATATAACACCGCGAGGACACCGGTGACCGCAACCATTATTCTTTAATTGTGTCTATAATAACGGTACTTAAAGGGTTAATTAACGTTTTATTTTATGGAAAACTACTAATCACCTGATGGTAAGTAATGGGCGTCACCCGTGAGCACTTGAAACATTAGAGGAATTACTCCGGTACGGCAACGGTCTCACGTACGGTCGAGGCAAGCCAAGCCTTGTTTCACAGGAGTTTACTACTAAGTAAAATACACTAAGATTTTCTAACAGTTACTATTAAATAAATGTAAATAGTATAAGAAAAAACGTAAGTAGTAGAGCAATATGAAAAAAGGTGTAGGTATTGAGATAAGACGAGGTTGCAAAAGAGAAAGTAGAGAAAGAAGTTTAATGTTTCACTGGCCCTATACTGCAAGGAAGTGTAGTCTATGTCTATAACACATTTAAACATAAAATTGCATAAAAACACATATACCAAACCCATCAACTACATCCACGCCTCCAACTCCAACTTGCTGCACTTCGACACCAGTGCTTTGTCTATAAAACAGACATTCTATTTTATTTAAAAATATACAATTAAACAAGTGTCTACCCTTTCATTCTATTTATAGAATTCAGGGCCACCCTTTAAATTACCCACTCGTAGTCACAGGGTATTTTCCTAACAGGAAAATGGACAGCCACGTGGTTGTAAGTGTGGATACTGAGCACGAGGTACAATCTCCATGGCGGGTGAAGCAATGAGTTCATCGATTCTTAGTAAAAGTGTCTCAGTAATAGTATGGTGTCTAAAAGATTAAAAAAAATGGTATGGTTGTGGTCCTCTCTGAAACCTTATTATTTAAGTATAAAAGAAAAACCTTATTATTTAAGTAAAATACAAAATGTAAATTTTCCCTAGTATATTAAAAACTGTCATGGTAACAGTTGAGCTATTATTTATACAAAATTCTCGGTAAAAGGCTTTATTACAATTGAGGGAAGACGGTTTTATCAAAATTATTGTATTAAATAAGTAGGACAGTATCTACCGATACGTCACAAGTACGAGAATACTGTATTGTATGCTAATGAGCTTAAATACATTATTCAAATAATTTTCACAGAGGAATGATAAAACCTTAGAGCTACCACGGGGTTAGTAACAGGGATCCGGCGACAGACGACCACCAAAATAAATCGTAGCAATGAAAGTTTAAAACAAAAGAATATTTTGAAACTTTCACCGTTTTCATACAAACCTTTTTGAGGCTTTTTGTCACCCTGTCTACATATCGTATTCCATAATTTCATATTCCATATTTCTAGAAAGATAAAAAAAAATATCTTTTAAAATTGTTTGTTTAAAATTGGGTTTAAAATTGTTGCTAAGAAGAATGCTGTAAGAAGATCTTATGATGTGAAATACAAATACGTATGGAGTGCGCAAGTAATTAAAGTTATCTGTTTAGAATTAAAATAGTTTATCAGTTAGTTTTCACATGGCTCGGCTTGCATCGGGCTGATATTTTGCGTACGGGAGCGTTGACTGAACTGTCTCAATTACTTTGTCGGCTCGTTGGCATATGTATTGCAACAAAAGCATTAAGACGATGATGAACTGGCTAGTCGGGACTGTGGACGACCTCGTGGATTTTAAATATCAGCTTCCTGAACGGCCGCCTTGCACCGGTTTGCAAAACGAGATCGCCCTTAGCTTTAGTGGATACTTTCTATAAATACGAAGCGATACATTGGCAAGGCATCAGTCGTTCATCCGAGCAACAATACAATACAGACCAAGATGTTCAAGTTGGTGGTATTGTGCGCTTTCTTCGCCGCAGCGGCCGCTGAGCCCGGTGCTTTAATTGCTGCCCCCATCACGCAGTACACCACGTACTTGGCTCCCGGTTCTACTACCATCGCGAAACAGGACAGCACTGTGATCCATCCCTCACCGCTCTTCTACCAGGCTCCTCTGGCGTACACCCACTTCATCAAGAAGCGATCCGCCCAGTTCCCTCTGGCGTACGCCTCGCCTGCTGCGTACTACCCCGCTAACTACTATGCTGCTACCACGTATAAGCTGCCGCTCGTCCAAGCCCCCTCGATCCTGCCAGCGCCCATCGCGTCAGTGCCTGCAGTGCCTGCCGTACATTTGATCAAGAAGAGGTCAGCACCTTTGTTCCCTACGACTTACTACGCACCCACCACCTACGCCGCCACCACTCCTCTTCTAGCATCCACATACACTGCGACTGCTCCAGTGCTCGCCCAAGCTCCAGTTCTCGCCCATACTCCAGTGATCTCTCAGCCCCTTGCCTACGCTCACCTGATCAAGAAGCGATCAGCTGGTCTGTTGAACACTTACATCGCCCCTGCTGCGTACTCCCACCAGTCGCGAGTTGACCTCCAAACGTCTCACATCCCCTATTCTTCCTTTGCCTACTCCGCGCCCATTGCTTACTCTGCTCCTCTTGCTGTATCCCACCTGTACAAGTAAGCGTTGCTCAACGGAACAGCTGTCAAAATCCTTCATCAAAGGAGACTGAAAATTCTAAATTGTCACTAATCTGAAATAGTTCCATGAATGTACATAATATTGATGACTGATTAATAAACTCTGGATTTTTTAAAAATACCCGTTTTATTTATAAACAAGTTACGCATCCTCCTCTGTATTTGTATTTATCGCTTCTGATTCAAGATTATGCACCATGTATAAGGCAATAAATTCACCGTGAAGTGGAATTTAAAGCATTCAGGTCATTAAATTGTTTTACCATTTATGGATCATTGTTATGTGGTAAAGTAGTGGTGTCATGTGTCACATATACTACTCGGACATTTCTCGATGTTTAATGATTTAATGAGTAATAAATAAACTAATGAGCATTTATATATGGTTGTCTAAATTAGTAAATAGGTAAAAATGATCCGTATTTTGACAAAAAAAATTAACATATGAAAATATTATAAGTAAAGTTTAAAAAAAACAAAAAAAAAATCGTTTATTAAAAAAAATAATTAGTATTTTTTTAATTTAAGTAAAGTCATTACATATTTCATTAGTGTCGAAACAGTAATAATATTGGAGGTTTCTGAATTAAGGACGATCCAATAATGTTAACGTAAGTAATAATATAAGAAAATCAAGTAAAAGCGATATCATTTCCTTAACTAAAGGGAAACCTACGTCACACTCGTTTAGAGTTTGAGGCTCACGTTTATACAACCCTTAGGAAGCAGAAGTAATGCACCCTTCTAAGTCACGTGTGTTAGCGACGTGTTCTATTGTATACATTTCCTTAATTATATACGAACAAAGGCGTTTTTTGCTAAGCCATACAATAAACGTTCCCAATCGAATTGTAATACATCAAACAACATTCAACAACCTCACTAGTTTTTATTTAATGTTTTTTATTTATTGAGATTTATTTTGGAAATATTCGTCACAGTTTGAAGTATGATTCTTTCCAGTATAAATGTTTTACTTTTTAAGGGTTTAGTACACTTACTAAAATTTAATTTATGTGTACATAGAATAAAAGTAACATTTAATACCTTTTATCAGCGAAGGCACCTCTTAGGTAGAGGTGCACATTACGACCATTAATGCCACTGTACAATGTAACACCCATTTTTCACTATTTATGTTATGAGTCTCATGTAATAGGGGCTTACCACATTGCCATATATCGGGCACAATTTTAGATTCCGTGCTACTACTGAAATTTAAAAAAAACTCAGTAATACTTTGCCTGGCCTGGGAATCGTACCCGAAGCCCCCTGCCCAGTAGTCGCACTTCTGACCACTCGGCCAACAAGGCAATTAAATCAATAAAAATGTCATGATCAAAAATTGAGAATGAAAGTAAAGGAGTGAAAACTAAACACTACAACATAAAAAATAGCATCTTTATTACATCACAAAATGAATTATCTTATATGTAAGAAATAAATAAATCAAATATTATTGTTACTTTCCTTACTTGCTATTTATGTAATCGCTCCATAGTATTTTGTAACATTTTTTAAAGGCTTGCACGTATTATCGCTAAATCATTTTTAAATTAATTTGCATAAAAATGCCAGTCTTAAATCTCATTGGTTTATTAATTTAATACAGCTTCTTCGGTAACAGCATCCATTTGTGGATCATTGGTAGTGCTGACTACTTTACTGTTGTCATCGTAAGCTACTATGATGATCTTATCTGACTCAGGCTGTTTGACTCCTTTATTTACATTTTCTTGTTCGGGAATTTCCGTTGCTATCACATTACTATTTTCATCACTTGTGGCCACCGCCTCCACGAATTCATAATTATCTGCATTCTCTTCTTGAGCTTTATCTATCGATATGGGATGTTCAAGTGCTCTTGCCAGAGGTAGATTGTGAAAAAAGCTTAACGCTACTGGCGTTAATATTGTATCTGCTGTAAAAACCGGCGTTATCACTGCTTCACGTACTTTATTCTCAATTTGATGATTAGCATACAAAGTTGCAGCTGGACTATATATCAACGGACCAGCCACAAAACCTGGACTATGCTTGATATCTATCCTGGATTGATGAGATACTGCACTCGGTGCCGCGTATATCAAAGGCACTAAATCTCCATACACTTCACACAGTACACCCACAACTAACAGTAACCTAATCATTTTGATACTTGAACTTAACCTGGAGTGTTTACTAGAGGCAGATGAGACGTTATTTTATAGCCACGTAACGGTTGTTGTTACGTAGTGCGCCAGCGCAACGGGTTCAAGTTCTCGGCCGCAGCTATTGGACGGGTCGTTGCGTCACTGACGCTGAGGCCCCGGGGCACTGGCCGGATTCAGATGCAATATACAAACGTCACTCATTAGCATTTTTGATTGATATTACTTAAAATAATGCGTGAATCATATTTGTTATTTATCCATAGATTGTGCTGCACGCATTTATTTCCGAACCTAATTCAGGGTCTATTGTAAGAAATGCGATAACATTTATAGACACGTACTTTGTCTATTGTGTTTATAAAAAGTAATTTGGTTTATTTGTATTCTTATAAACTGGCGAATTCCAAGTTTTTTGTGGCAACAATCACCACATTGAATAGAATGACAAAAGGTATTAATAGTTTGAATCCTGTCACTCTGAATCAGCATTTGGGGTATAAGAAGGTAGACCTCCAGTTGGGAAATCAGTCAGCTCTTACAGTTCAATCAGATTTGTGATCAAGAAACAAGTTGAAGATGTTCCGTGCTGTTGTGTTGTTAGCTTCCCTGGCTCTGTGCCATGGCCATGCAGTGCCCGTAGTGGCTCACCACGCTGCAGTGGTGGCACCAGTAGTAGCGCCTGTAGTGGCTGGCTATGCCGGTCATGGTTACGGTGGACATGGATTTGGAGGATACGGCTACGGTGGACTGGGATACGGAGGCCTTGGTCATGCTGGACTTGGTCACACTGGACTTGGTCACGCTGGACTTGGTCACGCTGGATTTGGACACGCTGGTCTTGGACACGCTAGCCTTGGTTTTGGCGGTCTTGGTCACGGAGGACTTGGCCATCACATTCACAAGCGGTCTCCTCATCTTGTCGCTCCTGTAGCTCATGTAGGACACGTGGCTCATGTTGCTCCCGTAGCTCATGTAGCCCCCGTGGCTCACGTGGCACCCGTGGCGGTGTCTCATCAGTCTCGACTGGACGTGCACTCTTCACCAGCTGTTGTTGCTACTTCAGTAGTGCAGCCCGTCGTAGCCCCCGTGGTGGCTGCTGCCCCGCTGCACTTCGGTGGTGGATTCGGCGGTGGTCTAGGAGCTGGCCTCTATGGACACGGACATGGTTATGGCCATGGTTTCGGCCACGGCTATGGCCACGGTTTTGGCCACTACTAGTCACGATCTTATTTGATGTCAATAATTTGTATCATAAACGAATGAATGGATTGTAGTGTATTATAGTTTGCTAATAAAGATGTGATAATTATGTTGTATTTTATTGCTATTATGCAATATATAGTCTTTTATGCAATTTTACTTACTCACATGAAATTTTTAAGTCAAAGACTATGTAAAACTATCTAAAATCTAAGGGCCGATTTTTCCAACGCCAGATAAATTTTAACGGAGGAATAACTTTGAATATTTGACAATTCTTCCATACTAAAAACTGTCAAATGTCACTTTTATTCTACAGTTAAAAATGAACTGATTGAATAGTCGGCACTTTTTTTTTAAGGGGGGAAAATCATCGAATGACTGCTCCCGCCTGGGTGAGGCGGAAGGGAGTGTCAGACTCTTACTGACTAAAAACCACCCCGTTCCTTCTCCTATACGTCGAGCCGGAGCCCCGGTTACCTGTTAGGTTCTCCACGACAATAACAGTCGGCACTAAGAATTATAAATATCACAGTGTTATAATAAACACGTCATATACAAGGGTAGTGAATCAAACTTTCTATTAAGTAATAGTAAGCTTCAATTGCATTAAGCAAATATAATTCCTTAATCATAAATATTATGTTAAACAAACAAAACATAGTAACTTACAATAAAAAAGTGAATGAAGGAAATAATAAAATTAATTTAACAAATAAAAAAATATATTTAGGCTAGTATTACTCACAAGCAGGAACTCAGTAACCCAGGTTGAATAATTTATAAATCTAATTCACCTGAAGGACAGTTAAAATTAGTTTGTGTCCTACACCAAAGTAACAGCCTTAAAACATAATTGGAGTTATTTTTTACAGCTGTTGTAAATACTAGAGATATAATATTATTTTAGCAGCGCATAAATTACTATGTAAAACGTGACCGTGGAAGTAAAACGGTTTTCATACTTCCGTTCTTAATTGTTTTTTTTTACCAGTATGTTAAAATAAGACAATTTTTATCAGTCGACTCATATACTCGCTATGAGTAAGAATAGACACGTTATATTTTCAGGTAATTAAAAATGACATAAATGTTAATATTTGCTCCTAGTATTATTTTGCTATGACCGAATTTATTTTACAAAGTTTCTGTTTAGTCAGATTTCTTGGGAACGGATTATAATCCGATGTTGTAATAATCCTTCGCACGAGCCAACCATCACTTCAAGTAAACTGAGATTTGGTTAAAATCATATTCGCAAGAAGTATGAAATTCGTGAAAAGATGTTGTACGTTGGAGGTGTAATATAGGTAGGTACGAGTATAAAACAAAAAAAAAGTGTATGATAATATTTCTTTTAATTCGGCAGTGATAAATTCATTACAAGACGGTTTTGTACAATTTTAGATAGGTTCACTTGGTTTATTTAGTAGGGGTGGACGCTGAGGGCCTTGGGGTATACAGCGGAGTAGGACAGGGGGTGAGAGTATGCGGAGACCAGAGGGGAGTATGCGGAGTAACCGGAGACGACGGGAGCGGAGTAGGCGGAGACTACAGCGGGGCTAGAGTAGGCAGACACCAAGGGGCTGGAGTAAGCGACCGAGCTGTAGGCAACGGGGGCAACTCCGACGGAACGCTTCTTCAGGTGGTGGAAGCCAGACAGAGCCTTGGCTTGGTAGTGGGCGGCGCGAGCGGCAACTACTTCAGGGGTGTCGAGGGGAACTCCATTGACGGCATCCAGGACGACAGCAGGGGAGTGAGGAGCTTGAGCGAGGGCGACGGGGGCCACGGCGTGAGCACCATATAAAGCGGGTACAGAGTAGACAGATGGGGCGGAGTAGACGGCGGGGGCGACGACACCGACGGCAGGGGAGCCGTGCACCACACTGGAGCTGTACTGCGACACCGAGCTGGATGCCGGGACCACGGCGCTGTAGGCGACGGGCGCCACTAGGCTGGGTTTAGCGGCAGCCATGGCCGCGACGGAGAGCAACACCACCAGCTTGTACATGTTGAAGTGGTCTGTGTTGTTATCGAACTGAAGAAGTTGGATCAACTGATGTCTAACACGCTGTGACGGATCCTTTTATACGAAGCGTTGAGCAAGTACTCATTACCAAAACATGTGCTGCCCCAACAAACAACCTTCAAAACTACTATCTATACTCTGATATTTAAGCCACCTAATATTTTTATTCTAGCTGGCGAAGATTTTTTGTCATGTGTGATTAGGTTCCGGAATCGATTTACGGACAGTGACAACTGTCGCGTGAAATCCAAGGTGTGCATTACATTATAGACAATTGATTTTCGAGTTCCTTGTGCTATGTTTATGTGGGTGATGATAGTACCATCATTAATCATTATAATTGTAACGTATTATTTTTTGAAGCTTTTTTATTTCTGCTTAGTATCTACCTAGACGATATAAAAAAGAAAATTTAAAAAAATCAGTTCAGACAAAATTATTTGTTGATTAGGTTAAAAATAACGTATTTTCATAAGTAAAAAGCTTTTTAATTCTTTATCTATTGAGCGGGAAGTATTAGGTGTAATTTTCACAACATTCTTCTGTTTACATCATGGAGAGACGTATTGTCATCACAGTTCATATGACAAAAATACGTGAAAATAATAGTTATATCAGATTATAATATTTGAGTCTCTAGCCTCAACAATCAAAATCTAAAACACAGCTTAGGTCTTAGATTTATTTCGTATATTGTCTGTTGAATGTGTCACGCTTTCTTATCTAAGTGGTACACTCGAAGCATGAGTGATAGCATCAACAAGTTGGCATTATGAGCATAAATGTCAGTATCGCGGCACGCAATACTAATATAATTACTTCTTAAATAGACAAACTTGACATTTATAGTGTTGTCCTTAGATATATTTTGTATATTGTTTATTTTGTATTAGATTTGGACAGAGTCGTGATATGAAGCGTGTAATCGTTCTGTAAGCAATTTCTTTCTCAAATTTTTCTTTAAGTAGCTCTATAATAGGACTCGAACGGGGGCAAACATGATTGTTAAACAGGGGTCTCAGGTTTGCTACCCGGTTTGGACACAGTATTGTTGCGGTTTTCAGTACCACGGAGTCTAGTATTGTGCAACACCGGGCAGCATAATAATGTATCATAACGTTTACATTTCGTTCAATTTTCTAAGATGATTGATCCTCTTAACTTGGGTGCCTTCTTCGCAAATCTTATTAACGATTCCTTGCACACGTGTACTATACAAAGTCAATATTTATAAAAACGCTGTTTACTCTATTCCAGGTTAACAAATGTAGCAAGACAGTCTTTTTCAGTAAGTTTTAATTTTGACTTATTCGTTGGCTGAGTGGTCGCAAGTGCGACTGCCGGGCAAGGGGTCTCGGGTTCGATTACCGAGTCGGGCAAAGTATTACTGGGATTTTTTTAAAAAAAATCTCAGTATTAGCACGGAGTCTAGAAATGTGCTCGGTATATAGCAATAGGCTCACCCCCTATTAAATGGGACTCATAACATAAATAGTGAAGAGTGGGTGTTACTTCTATGTGTACCTCTGCCTAACCCTTTGGGGATGTCGCGGAGAACCTAACGGGTAACCGGGGCTTCGGCTCGACGTGCAGGAAAAGGAACGGGGTGGTTTTTAGTCAGTACGAGTCTGACACACCCTCCCGCCTCACCCAGGCGGGAGCAGTCATTCGATGATTTTCCCCCCTTAAAAAAACCCCCTTTGGGGATAAAAAGGCGTGATGTTATGTTATGTTATGTTTTAATTTTGGTTTTGTCTCAAAAATCAGACACTGACTACATCTTTTTACTGACTGATCTGATTCGTCTTCATCATTGGTGATTGGTATTAATTTAAAATTGATTAAAGATCGATTGGATTAGATTGAAGTTTTGCATCTGTGTCTATAGTGACCTCTCCCCATCCTTCTAATTTAGCAAACAATTTGTCTGCATGATCTTACAAACAAAATGTCGATCAAATTAAAAGTTGTGAAACAATAGCCTGCAAGTAAAGTTAACACGTGCTTTAGTTTTCAAGAGGAAAAATTGAAAATATTCTAGAAAAAGTAATTAATTCATTTTTGTATAGAAAGTTTTCCAAGAACGATCAAAAGTCATCAAAGATCACGTTTGAAAAATCTTGCGCAATTACGATTCGCACACGTGACGTAGAAGAGCAATGGAAAACAATTCATTTGGAAATGGCTCACGTGTCAATATTTGAAAAAGATTTCATAACTCATAGGAGTATTGGAAAGACAACTAACCAATTCCAATAAGTTTTTGATATTTCGAAAAATTTAATTAAAAATGTAGTTAATGAGAAACAAGAAATGACGTAATTAAATGACAGATCTATTCTTCATACTTCGTTGAAAATTTTATTTCGTTAAAGCTGTTGTTTACTGCAGTAGTAATAATTGAAAACATAATAGTAATTGTACGTCACATTTCTTATTCATATAATTTCCAGAGACGAGACAATTCGTAGAAAGAAATGAATTGCTGATGAATAAAGGAAACTTCGAAATGTGTATTGAATTTTGTTATTAGACCGTACAAGTGCCTAGTAAACTTTGGTTAAGTTTGTGGGCCTCCAATAAATATCCTTGAAAAGTTCGCGAGGTTTCCCGATTATTGTTATTAAAGATACATATTTAGCCTTCTATTTAAGTAAGCTTGGCGTAGCTCAATCATTCAATCAATCGTTTGTGTTAAATACTATGTTGGTAGCAGAGAATAATTTCTTGAATCGACTAAATAATAAGTATAACTTAACATCGTATTAAGGTTAAAAAAAAGAATGTATTTTTAAAGATATTTTATTTACAAGTCATTATGTCGTTCGTCATTCGCCAAATCTGAATCGAGGAACAAATTCCCCGTTATCGTGGTAGCGTTCACCAGGAGTGCACGCTGTAGGCCTTGGTGATCAGAGGAGTAGAGAGAGCGATGGGCGCGGAGTACGCCAGGGGAGCGGCGTGCACGATGGGGGCAGCAGCGTAGGTAGAGATTACGGGGGACGCCAAGTGGGACAGCACAGGTGCGGCGATCAGAGGAGCAGAGCGCTTCTTGATGAGATGGGCAGCAGCCAGAGCTTTGGCTTCAAAGTGCTCAGCACGAGCAGCGATCACTTCAGGGGTGTCCAGGGGCACAGCAGGCTCAGCAATGGCGGCGGAGAATGCGGGAGAGAACGTCTTCACGAAGGTAGGCGCTTTGTAGGCGAGGGCAAAAGGAGCGCTGTAGGCCACGGGTGCCGATATTACCGTGCTGGTGATTGCGGGCGATGACTTGATGTCGATACGAGACTGGCTGGAGACGGCAGCAGGAGCGATAGGAGCGATAGGAGCGGGGAGAATAGTTGGAGCATCAACTAGTGCAGGCTCGGAGATGACAGTGCGGGCGATTGGCTCGATCGATGTTGTCACCACTGCTGGAGAAGATTTGATGTCAAGGCGGGATTGGCTGGATACGGCTGCGGGTGCGGAGTAGAGTGTCGGTGCTGAGTAGTAGGCAGGCGCTGCGTATGCCAAAGGAGTGGAGATGATTGGTGACGTGATGAGTCCTGAGGGCTTGCCAGCGACGAGCGCCACCACAGATAAGAACACCACCAGCGAGTTCATCGTGGTCTGTGTATATTCAGATGCGAACGACAAGGGAATGAGATGTGACTGATGCTTTCTTTTGGTTTGCGAATGTATTTATACTGCTCGCGATGCACTAAAATGAAAGTCAAGTTCGACAAGTTTCATGACAGTACACGCAATAAGTTCACTTTATTTCAATATTTTGTTATATTTTTACATTGTAGGGCCAAAATGTTGAACAGATTTCTCGGACACGCAGCGCAAACTCCTCTAATATCTAATATGTAAGTTCTCACTGTACGATTATTATACCTACATACACGAGTGTATGAGTGAATCTTAATTTCAGGTTCAAATAAGTTAAGCAGCGTAGTCTAAGTCTGAAATAGAATAATAATATTATAGTATTGATTGTTAGTAATTGATAAATAAAATCGTAAGTTAATTAAATGTAGTTCCTTTTCTTCGATCATGAAACAGTCGATGGAATATTATTTTCTACTGAGAAATAAACTAATTAAAGAATTTTGTTCTGAAAACATGTAGATATTAGATTATTTTAGGACCACTTTTTACCCAGATGTTTCACAACACCAATTAGGCATCGTTTAAAGTCTTACACACATTTTAGCCAAAAGAAGTTTATCATAAACCAATAACTTTAGACTTATCTTACTAATTGCCTACTTCTGTATTTCTGGCGGAACATCAAGTAGCATTTAATTACCATACTTCGATAAAGGCAAATATCGTCGCATTGTGATTTATAGCGACGGATAAAGTACAATATTGAAATCGAATGAAAAGATTCAATAAGAACTTATCTGGGACGATTTATCTACTTTTGTGAGTTATATACTAATCTGAGTTACTTGTGAATACTTTCATTATTAGTGTATACATATTTGGTTAACTATCAATTGATATCGTTATCGTTGTCGCCAACTCGCATTGAACAAGCATAGTGATTAATACTCAAACCTTCTCTGTGCGAGAAGAGCCCTTTGGTCAGTAGTAGCCACTTGTGGCATCGCGTCGTTATTATAATCAGATTTGTCGTCGTTATTATAGACATATCGTCGTTACTATAATTACTACTACTTACTATAATAATCGACTGCACGGTTGGTGCGGTGGCTGGGCAACCGGCTGCCGTGCAACGTGTCGCGGGTTCGATTCCCGCACGGAACAACACTTTGTGTGATCCACAAATTGTTGTTTCGGGTCTGGGTGTCATTGTGTATGTGAACTTGTATGTTTGTAAACGCACCCACGACACAGGAGAAAATCCTAGTGTGGGGCAACGTTAAAAAAATAAAAAAAAAAAACTAAAAAAAAAAAATTTACGACTAGTGAGTCTCTAATTCTAGTTCCGATTCTCGAGTCGATCATAGCATTATTAGAATATTTTTTCGTTTGAATAGATAATTCTGAATAAGCAGAGAAACTAGTATTATGCCCGATAAGAGGAACACCCTCTAATATATAGGATAATATTGTAACTAGTCGTCATTCATGTGTGGTATCCGCTTAATGTTAAAATATAAATTTACATTGTGACGAAAAATTTAATAATAGGTAAATTTTCATACATTGATTAAACCAGTAAAATAAAGATCGGAAAGTTACTTGTCTTTAATATTCAAATTAGTTACCAAGTAAAAAGCAAAAGGAAATCGGTACAAAATAATGCTATTTTGGTCTACAAAACATAAAAAAGTAGTGCAGTAAATGTGAACCTGCAATGAGATATGGTAAGTACGAGTTTGTTGGTGTGAGTGACATAAAAAGTTCGAGTTTATTTTTTGCAGTGGTGCGGCCGGTAAACAAAATGTTAAGGTTTGATCGACCTTGGACGCGCTTTCATGCTTATTCTGACCAACTAGGCGTTGTCTTGACTTGTATTTACATAGAGTTGTAAGTACGTATTTTATAGGAATTTTAACTGTTGTTAAATTTCGTGTATGTAGTACTTATCACCGTTTTGTTGGTATGAAAGTAAAAGCTTTCTGTCCAATTTCTTTCTTGGTTAGATTCATACAAAGTTGTTCTAAGTTTAAGGGCTAGATTAAAGCAAAGTATTTAAAAATATTCAAGATTTCTAACTTCTAATCAAATTACATTATTTTTTAAATAAGTAAACAAACAAGAGAAACCGTTGCCTGTGATATTGGCTCATCCAATCATTTTAAAATTGTTTTAAACCAAATACAATTCCAGAGGCTTTACACAGTATTCATCCGACTTGAATTTTTACACCTAATTCTTTATTTTGGAAAATAAACTAGATATTTCTTTAAATAATATCACTGTTTTTCATGTCATTGTCACACTTAACAACAACTCAAGTGATATACGTTCCACAGTGTTAACTGGCTGACATTACGCATGAAGTGGCATGCGGAATCTGACGCGCCGTATACGGCAACCGTATCTACTGCTCCAGCCCAAAGTACTTGTACCATACAATTATAAGAAGGCATTCAGTTATCTTGACTGCCTCATTGGTCAAAAGTGTCACCTGCGTCAAGCTTGTGTGATAAAACTTTACTTATATATTATTTTTTAATTTATTTACTTCATAAACTAAAGAACATATGATTTTACTTATTTTTAATACCAACTAGTAAGTGCTATTATGAGTTCATCTCACTATCGAATGGTATGATAATGAAATTGATGAATCGAAAAGGTATGTAAGAATTGTAGCAATTGGCTTTCCATATTCTTTGCCTACCCATGGGAGACAGGCGTGAGGTTGAGTATATATGAAATGAAATATTGTTTGTTTTTTTTTTAAAGTTGGGACAATGGGTCCTTACTCTAAAAGAATTGTACAGTATGTATAATAAATTAAGTAACAATTAGAATCGTTCTTATCGTTCCTTTCGAAGCATTTGTAGCTTGTGCATTTTCATTGTTAGAAATTTATTTACATAGAATTTCTGGTTACTTTTTTCTACTACATCGATATTAATATAATAATACAAGTAAAAAACATATACTTGGTGACAAAACTAGCAGCTTAGAGTGCTCAAAAAATAAGTGACCTTTTCTTTGAAAATATAATTACTTATTAAAATAGTACACAAACATTGCCAGACCAATGTTTTAGTCTGACCGGTTATTCTCGATATCGGCTCCTTTGTGTTCGCAGCGCCAGCGCATGATTAGTGGTTGACAAGATTGAAACCAATTTAATGGACACTGACTTAATCGATCGTTGTAAAAAATATTAATAGAATTAGGTATTTATATATAACAAGTACAAGAACTATTTTTGATTGTACTATTTTTATTTTTAATCTTAATTTAAGTGCTTGTGCTAATTCTGACATTTTGATATATGTATTAATGAATGTTGATAGAAAAAAAGAAAGACAAAATATAAAAATTTACTGCACTTTAATGAAATTCCAAACATGGCACAACTTTCCAACTCTTATTTAGAGCTAGATTTTTGCTCCAATCCAACACGACGAATGATCTTATGTTCTATTTAATAACAAGTATATAAGAGTAGATGTTGACTGTTGCACTATCCGGGAATAGGCCTGGATGGTCTGGCCTGGGTGTAATTGGCCTTAACTGTGTGTTTACCAGCCATGGGCGTAGGCGGGAGCGGCCACGATTGGTGCATGCGCAGCTACGATGGGAGCGTGGGCAGCTACTAATGCAGGGGACGCCAACTGGAAGTATTTGGAAATTATAATTAAAGATTTGTAAAACAGATTCACTGTCAAATAGGTATAATAGTTTTGGTAGGTACCTACTTATTGTATTTGCAAATTATACATTCACATATGTTTGATGATATGTAGATATTTGTATAAATACTTCTCACACGACTTCAGCTAAACCAACTGGTTTTATTTGGTCAATATCACCTCATACGTAGAGATAACGATAAAATAGTTTATGCAGGTTAAAAGACATCAACGCGTTCAAAAAAATGGCTGAAGGGATTTTCGCTATTTTGGTAGAGAAACTATATGAAAGTCTATGTTTAATTAGTTAATTTAAAGAAATAATGTCATATACTCTTGGTAGTAACAATTAATTTATTAATCAAACAAATAAGACTCTCGTAGGGATTTGCAGATAATCGTAGCTGACAAGGAGAAAATATTATTATAACTACTCAATTTTTTTTGTAGGTTTTTAACGTTTCTTGCTTACCTTAACAGTGTTAGCGTAAGAAGTAGCTACAGGTACAGCGGTTTTAACTACGGGAGCGCTATAGATGGGTGCGCTGACGATACCGTGACCCCAGCCAGCGGCAATGGGAGCTGCGGCGATGGGCGCAGCGTAGCCTCCGATGTAGCCGGGAGCGGCGGCGGCAACGGCCAGCAGGGCGGAGAAGACAACCTGGAAATAATAGTAAGACTTCAATTAGTAATCAGTTTAATGGAATGATTTTAAAGTATATTATACATGGTATGTCGGTCCTCTTAACTCGTTGAGTACCGTCATTATAGACACAATTAAAGAACAATAGGTTGCGGTCACAGGTGACCGCTCCATGTTTGACAGTTTAATTTGAGACGTCAGTTACGAATATCGCTAAACTCGTCCATTGGGAAATAAAAAGCAAGATTCCGAAATATGATTGGACTTAGTTTTAACCGGAAAATGCGTAAGTGCTAAATTAAGTAAGTATATTCCGTTAAGTTTTCGTCTATTTCAAATAAGTGTTCTATTTTGCTAACCCTTTGTACGATTTATATTAAATCCTTTATTTTACAATTATGCCCAAATATTGTAATCATAATCAAATTAGAATAGCTGTGCGTTCACAATAGATTACGTTGCGGCTACAATGAAACAATTAACATTCAGCAAAAATGTAGTATACACAGTTACAACAACGAAAGATAATTGTTTCCTTTGAGAACTTGTTAAAGGGAGCTGAAGCCCCTCTAAATAGGCCCAATAGACTGAATGGGCTGAACAAAGATCACGTGGTAACACGTAATGAGGGCCCATTGTCCAGTCTATTGTGGACCTCTCACGCGCCACGCATATGCTCAGCAGAA